GCAGTGGCGTGATCTCGGCTCACTGCAACCTCCACCTCCTGGGTTTGAGTGATTCTCCTGCCCCTGCCTCCTGATTAACTGGGATTACAGGTGTGTGCCACCACACCTGGCTAATTTTTGTATTTTTAGTACAGACGGGGTTTTGCCATGTTGACCAGGCTGGTCTTGAACTCCTTACCTCAGGTGATCCGCCTGCCTCGGCCTCCCAGAGTGCTGGAATTACAGGCATGAGTCGCCATGCCCAGCCAGACCCTGTCTCTTTTAAAAGAAAGGCAAAAGAAATATAAAGCACTTAATCAGTGCCTTGCACTAATGGGCAATGAATAAAGTGATGCTATATCATCATCATCATCATCATCAATTCTATGATCAATTCTCAGGCTTTCAAGGCTTTAGAATCTTTCTGTGTCTTTGGATGTTGTGGCCTTTATGCAACACACGAGCTTGTTTGGAGCTGGTGGTCAGGGATATGGTATTTTCACTAAGTTAGGGATGGAGTTTTATAAGAAATCAGTGTAAAGGAGGAAAAAAGAAACAGGCGTCCTAAAGACATAACGTGTATTGCTGAACAAGTGCTGATGGCTGCCTTCGCCACCTTCTGCTACAACGGTTCTCAGCATTTACGTGCATTTCAGAAAGATTCCCATTCTCTTCTCCCCAGAGTCTGAATGGAGAAGGTCTGGAACAACCTGAGATTCAGCATTTTTAGGAGTGTCTCTGGAGATTTTGAAACAGGTGGTTTAAGGACTTTCTGTCTCTTCTCCCTCCCCCAGATGAGGAAGTGCTGCTTGTGTCTGCGAGTCAATATGAGAGTTAAAAACAACAACAAAAGCACTGCTCCTGGAATGGTCCAGTTCCCATGGCCACGACCAGCAAAGTGGGCCTGATTTCCTCAGGAGGGGAAGAAGTGACGGCTGCAGAGTCCTTGACCACCTCGGTGTCTGGGCTCGAGCATCCTGCCACCCCCAGCGTCTGCAGGTCACCCCCAGACTGACGCCATCTCAGTGAGCTAATGCCAGTGTCTGCCCTGCACCGGCTCATTCAGCAGCCACTGGAATGATCAATGAGGCCGGCCACCCGGCCCTCCATCGGCTGCCGGTGAATCAGCTGCCTCAGCCATTCGCATCTCCACTGAGCAGGAAGCGCTCGAGCTGAGCCAGCCAGGGCTGACTGGCGTCTGGCTAATGGCTTTTCTATGTCATGCACTGACCTTGATCCCATATGTTTTTCATACGTGAGTGGGTTGGAGCGCCTGAAGATGGTCCAGTGGTGGAAATAACTCGTCTGCCAAGCCCCTCACCGAGGTCCTGGGCAGTACTTTGGTTTAGGGGTATCTGCTTCTGAAGCAGAAACAGTGCTTTTGTTTAAATTGAGGTGAAATTCACATAGCATAAAATCAGCCAGGTTAAAGGGAACAAGCGGTGGCATCTGGTGCGTTCACAATGTTGTGCAAAACCACCTCTATCCAAAAACACCTTCATTGCCCCAGAAGGAATCCCTGTACCTGTTGCGTGAGTGTACTAGGGCTGCTGTAACGAAGTGACACAAACTGGGTGGCTTCGACAACAGAAATTTGGGGCCAGGAACGGTGGCTCATGCCTGTGATCCCAGCACTTCGGGAGGCCGAGGTGGGTGGATCATTTGAGGTCAGGAGTTCAAGACCAGCCTGGCCAACATGGTGAAACCCCATCTCTACTAAAGCTATAAAAATTAGTTGGGTGGTGGTGGCACATGCCTGTAGTCCCAGCTGCTTGGGAGGCTGAGGCAGGAGAATCACTTGAGCCTTGTAGGCGGAGGTTGCGGTGAGCCAAGATCACACCACTGCATTCCAGTCTGGGCGACAGAGTGATACCCTGTCTCAGAACAAACAAACAAACAAACAAAAAGAAATTTACTGTCTCACAATTATGGAGGCTAGAAGTTTGAAATCAAGGTGTCAGCAGGCTTGGTTCCTTCTAGAGGCTGTGAGGGAAGGATCTGGTTTGGACCTCAACCCTTGGCTTTATAGATGGCCGTTTTTCTCTCCACATCATCTTCCTCTATGCCTCCCTGTGTCCATGTCCAAATTTCCCTTTATTATAAGGACACCAGGCATTTTGGATAAGGGCCCACCCTAATGACCTCATTTTAACATGATTACCTCTGTAAAGACCCTATCTCCAAATAAGGTCACATTCTGGGTTACTAGGGGTCAGGACTTCACAGTATGTATTTTGGGGGGGACACGATTCAGCCTTTAACAACATTAAGCAGTTTCAGTACTTTGTTCCGTTCTATGGCTGAATAATATCCCATTGCATGTAAGCATTTATTTTTTGAGCCCCAAGTACAAAGCAACTGTCAGTGAAATCTCCACCCCCTGGGTAGTGTGTGCCCGTCTGTATAAGGTGGCATGTTGATCTCACAGGTATAGCTCACAAATCTGCAATCTGTAAACTTTTTCTTACTGTCTTCCTCCTTGAAAAAGTGTGAGCCTTTATGAGCAAAAGTCAAAGCAGTACTGGACTAAGGGAAGAGAGGTCAAGCTTTTGATCCTAAAATTAATTTTAAAAATTGATTTCAGGCTGGGCACAGTGGCTCACGCCTGTAATCCCAGCACTTTGGGAGGCTGAAACGGGCAAATTACTTGAGCCCAGGAGTTCAAGACCAGCCTAGGCAACATGGCGAGTCCCCCTCTACAAAAAATACAAAAATTAGCTGGGCATGGTGGCATGCACCTGTAGTCCCAGCTGCTTGAGAGGCTGAAGTGGGAGGATTGCTTGAGCCTGGGAGGTGGAGGTTGCAATGATCTGAGATCACACCACAGCACTCCAGCCCATGTGACAGAGTGAGACCCTGTCTCAAACAAAAAAAGATGATTTCATCTTTACATTTTATTTTTCCTTTTCCTAGTCTTATCCCCAGCACTCCCCACTTCCTGCAAGCACAGGTGCACACACACAGACCCATGCACTCATACGTTCACATTAAGAGTATTTTCATGTGACCATTCTGGCGAGGGGCACGGCACAGATAGGAGACACAGGCCTTTGAGAAGACCCAGACAGCAGCTTGCTTCCATTGTCATGGTTACTGGGCTCAGTCCCTAGGGCTGGCTGCAGACCAGAGCCTTTCAGAGCATCTTCACACTCCCGTCCCTGCTCCTGCCTGAGAATGAGAGAGAGACCTTCGGGCACATGTGTCTTCTCAGCTGTGAAACTAACTGCACTGTTGACTTGTACATTTCATCGGCCCCCTTAATTTAAAATCTGTTTCTGTCTCTTATACAGACAAACAGGGGACTCGAATCCCTGCAGATTCTTAGGGAATAACCCCGAGTCCTCATTAGTTTGTTGCAGACTCAGGCCCCACTCCGCCATCCCAGAGGCGTCGGTGGTCATGACCCAGTGTCTGTCTCTAGTAGGGATGGCAGCAGGATCGCATCATCCTGCGTCCTGACTCTGAGCAGGGTTGTGCCTCATGCAAAAGTTGTTTAGTTTCCTCCTTCCTCTCTCCCGACCCCCCGCTCTCTCTTTTCCATCAAGTTCATTTTGCCACTTTGAAAGTCCACTGGGGGAAGAAATGCCTGCTGGCCCTAGGGTTTTCAGAGAGGCAGGAAGGCAGATAGAATAGCTCATACAGGAAGAAAGGACAGAAAATGTTCATATAGTAGGCTGCTCCACATGAGCATTTTAGGGTAAGATAGGTGACTTTTGGGGCCTTGGACTGGAAGGCTCCATACTTTTCATGGAATTGGCTGAAAAGGAGCTAAAGGTGCTGTAGGTGGTCCTCGGCAAGGAGCAGCCTTCGGGGGCTCAGATTCTGAACCTTGGCTCCGCTCATGGTGGGGCCTGGGCCTCTGGAGCTTTGAAAAGCTTCCAGGTGATTCTAATATCCAGCCACCTTTGAGAACCGCTGTTCTAGGGGACAGAGGCTTCCGGGAGAATTGTGCGTTTTGAGAGAGGGAGGATAGAAGAAGTAGATATCTAATGCTCCATGTTCAGCAATGCCGCTAATTAAGCAGAAAGCAAGGGCAGAAATCACACACCCTTGGCTGTCTTAGGCCAAGCAGGACTCTAGCTCCATTTAACCCTGTAGAATGCAAAGGGAGACTCCAGTGTCCCCCTTCCCACGGTTTCATCGGCTGCCAAAGCTGACAGACTGCCAGCCACCCCGCCGAGCATTTGCCAAGGTGATGGAAAATATTCACGGGAACACTCCGTCTCCACGTTCTACTCACAACTGGTTCTCTCCCTAGCTCCCAAGGAAAAGTAACATGAGGCCCATGTGGCTGCTTTCTCTTCTCAGCAGAAGGTGCTGATGTTATTAGAGGCTCGCCAAGCCTTGGTTGGAGGGGGATGTCAGGGGCATGCTGTGGGGGCTGACCTTTCTGTCTCTGACTCTGTTTTGTAGTACAAAATTGGACAGCTGTACATGATCAGCAAACACAGCCATGAACAGAGTGACCGGGGAGAAGGGGTGGAGGTCGTCCAGAATGAGCCTTTTGAGGACCCTCACCATGGCAACGGGCAGTTCACCGAGAAACGGGTGTATCTCAACAGGTGAGTCATGGCAGCCTGCGTTCTGCCCAGGAGCCCCTGCCCACCTGACCCCCTGGTGTGACAGTGAGGCTTTGGGTGTCTGGGATGAAAAGGTCACTTGGAAAGTAACTACATCCACAGTCTACAACCACCAATCTCATTGCTTTTGAAAGCAGAATCTGCCTGGCCAGGTGTGGTGGCTCACACCTGTAATCCCAGCACTTTGGGAGGCTGAAAGTGGCACTTTAGGGCAGGTGTTCAAAACCAGCCTGGGTAACATGGCAAAACCCCATCTCTACTAAAAATGCAAAAATTAGCTTGGCATGGTGGTGTGCATCTATACCACTCGGAAGGCTGAGGTGGGAGGATCACTTGAGCCTGGGAGGTTAAGGGCTGCAGTGAGCCAAGATCATGCCACTGAACTCCAGCTTGGGCGACACAGTGAGACCTTATCTCAAAAAAGAAAAAGAAAAAAAAAGAAATATATTTTGTTGAAATTAACTGTCTGTTTCAGCAAACAAGTCTTACATCAGCCATTTCATGAATACTTTTACCCCTACCTATGGCCTCTCTGATTGGCCCATATGTGATTATCCAGAAAGTATTTCCAATGCCCCTAGCTGGGCAGTGCCCCAGTTTATTCACTGACACCAGTGACTGTCCATTCTCAGGGCCTCGGACATGGTCAGACGTCTCTGAGAGGAACCATATTTAGAGTCCCATTCTCGCCTTGGCCCCACTCCCGAGCAGCTTGAATTGGACTATTCCTTCTTGATGGGAGACTTTGGTTCCTGTCACTAGGGTGGATGGAAGTCTCCCAGACCCGTGTCCTGACAGTGAAGGGCATGAGCTGATTAAACTGATGTTTTAATTTGCCCAGAGATGCAGTACCAGGGAATTCCTGAGTCACGATGAAATGCAAATGAGATTGATCCCATTCATCTATTAGTAGCTGTGAATTCCCAGGCTTTGGAACCAGTTCAGTGTCCAGCCAGCTGTTGATTTGCAGGGGCAACTGAGCTCTGGGTCTGGCCTGGGCATGCTTTCTTTATAGAGACAGGTTTCTCAATATGCTGCTTTGGCATTCTTAGTGTGGAGGGTGTAAATCAAATCCTGAGCAGGTTTCTCCTCGGGGATCACCTCTGCAGGGCAAAGAGAAGTGAGGGAGATGCAGGAAAATAGAAACCAATGGAAAATTCCATTTCTTGGCATACAATTGCATTCTCTCAAGTTATTACCTGGAGAATGTTCCTTATATATGAAAATCAGGAAGAATTTTAGGAACTTTATAAGTTTTGCTGAAACAAAATAAGAAGCATCTAGCTGTCCCTGTCATGTCTGTTTTGTCATATCATATTTATTTCGTATTTCTTTAAAAGAAGAGTAATAAACGTTAGTAAGAGGGAAAGTTGTTATAAATAGATGTGGACTTCCAGTAATAGTAAGGAAAAAGATTAATGGGGACCCTCCACCACCTCCCATGACAAACAGGATGAAATATAACTATGTAAAGAAGCTGAGCTCAAAACAAAGAAAGGGAAATCCTCTGAGGCTAGAAATAAACAGGCAAACTGAAACCGGAATGGAAAGCAGACCCGCTAATGCTAATGAAGGGCATTGGGGGGACATCAGAAGAGTGTGGGTTCTGACATCTAGGGACTGGGCATGTCATGCCCATGGGGAACAGGAATTAGGGTATCAGGCCCACATAAATGGAAACTTGAAACTGAGAATCAGGCATAAAAATAATTTTTGACAATCAAGGGCTGAGAGAGTTTACTAACTCTGAGACCCATATTGAAAGAACTACTAAAGGATGTGTTGTAAGAAAGAGGAAACTGAGCCCAGGAAGAAGGAGGGGGAGTTCTAGGAGTAATAATAAATGAAGAAATTGATAAACAACTAGGTAAATCTTTGAAATGGATGTAGGATGTTTTAAAAACAGTAATAATAAGACAACAATAGCACAGAAGATGGGAGGGTAATAATTATAGTAAAAAGCACTTTAAGGTGCTAATATTGTTTAGGAATTAGAAAAAAATATTGATTAATTTTAGATTTTCCTTTTTTTTTTTCTTTGAGATAGCCAGCTCTATCGCCCAGGCTGGAGTGCAGTGGTGCAGTCTCGGCTCACTGCAACCACCACCTCCTGAACTTAAGTGATTCTCATGCCTTAGCCTCCTGAGTAGCTAGGACTACAAATGTGCACCACCACAATGCCTGACTAATTTTTGTATTTTTTAGTAGAGACAGAGTTTCACTATGTTGGCCAGGCTGGTCTTGAACTCCTGACCTCAAATGATCCATCAGCCTTGGCCTCCCAAAGTGCTGCGATTACAGGCATGAGCCACCGTGCCCAGCCTAATTTTAGATTTTCTGAGACAAGTATGCATATTCAAAATATAAAGGTAATCTCTGAAGGGACAGTAAAATAATCCATAACCTCCGAGAGAAAACTTGATCAATCCACAGAGGGCCCAGAAACAAAAAAGAGAAGCCTACAAAAAGCATGATAAATAGAAAACACAAATTTGAATGGTAAAATGAAATGTCAAATACTCACTACAATTAGCCACCCTCGCAGCTAGAGATGGCCATGTGACCTAGTTCTGGCCAATGAGACATAAGATTTTTCCTCCTTGATAAAAAGAGGGATGTTCAAGGAATAACTTTGCTATTCAAAGAGAATCTGTTCTGATGTATCCCCACTTCATGATTTGTGTGTAAGAAAGTGGGGAGTTCAAGCCTGTAATCCCAGCACTTTGGGAGGCCGAGACGGGCGGATCACGAGGTCAGGAGATCGAGACCATCCTGGCTAACCCGGTGAAACCCC